TTGTTTGCTTTAAAGGAAGTAACCATCCTACAAAATTCAGGTCATCTCTTGAGTTTAGCATTTGGAAATTTTGATAGAATTTTTACTGACAAAACTTGAAGCTGACACATACAGAAAAACAAACAAAGGAATAAACAAACAAAAAACACAACTTTCTAAGCAGATAAACCAAGTGCTGGACTTAAAAAATATTCAGTCTTTACTGGGTTAACTGCACCTTTTTTTTCAATCAGTCAAATATTCAACTAACCGTTTTGAACACCGGCTGTACACTGCAGTGCTCAAAGAGAAGCAAGAAACTAAAAAACAAAACAACCCACACGATCCCTATGAGGAGATTTCAGTCTAGTAAATGCACTCTACTGCCTCCCCTCCCTAATTTCCATCCCCACAAATGTGGATATTTATGATGTGTCTTGTCCATTTTCAATCACTGACTAGTAGTGTTTAGCCCACTGTTTTCCAGACCTTCATCATTTAGCTCTACCTTATACTATCAACCACCCAAGATATTAGTAATAAAAATCCTATAAAACTTGATATTGATTAAAGTATGCACCATTCCCACTCAGTCTACTGGGAATGGACTCCCCGCCCCCTTTTGCAGGTAATATGGAACATCTGTTAAGAACTTTGGAAGGTATTTATAGACCCCATTTATAGGCACAACGGAAAGGAGCAACTGCAACATGGCTGCTCTGCTCCTGTCGCTTTCAGCATTTCGTGGTTCCATTTTTGTATCTTCCATATACTTACACATGGTTGGCCAGCTGTCAGCCATTACTTCTTGCAAAGCAGAAATTCTTTGAAGTAGGTTGGAGGATGTGGTAAACAGAATAATGCCCTTCCCCCAGCAAAGATGTCCACATCCTAATCCCCAGATCTGTGAATATGTGACTTTATGTTCTAAAGGAATTTTGCAGATGTGAGTAATTTAAGGATCTTGAGACAAGGGGATTATCCTGGCCCAATGTAATCACAAGAGTCCTTATATGCGCAAGGTAGGGGTTAAAGTAAAAGGTGATAGGACAACAGAGGCAAACAGAAACAGAAGTGAAAGAGAGAAGAGAGAGAGATTGGAAGATACTATGCTGCCAGATTTGAACATGGAAGCAGGGGCCACCAAGCCAAGGAATGCAGGAGGCCTCTAGAAGCTAGCAAAGGCCAGGAAGTTGATTCTCCCCTAGAACCTCCAGAAGGAAACAGTCCACTGTGAATTTATCACAGTAAGACTGATCTTGGACTTCTGACCTCCAGAACTGTAAGATAATATATTTGTGTTGCTTAAAGACACTAAAAAGGTGGCAATTTGTTACAGCAACAATAGAAAAGTAAAACAGAGGACTGGAGGAAATGTAAATGCGAACATCAAACTATATCTGGAGGCGGGTTGGGCTGAAAACAGTGGAGCTCAGGAGCCCGCCACGCCCCTGGTGCCTGTGGAAGCGTCGGGAAGGCGCCCCTAGTGGAGGACGGAGGGCGGCGGGAGAGGAGGCGCAGCGGCTGAGGCGCGAAGCTGCCCCAAGAGCCGAGCCCGACAGCCCGAGCAGGGGCGATGGAAATCCAAGAGGAAACAGCCCTTTCATTAACAGTGTTGAGAGGGTGAGAGATTACTTCTTTGAAAGAAAAAATATAGTCCTTTTAGAGGAGGAGATGGACAGCAACCCCACGGCGTCGCTGCTACTCAACAAGCTGGCCTACTGCAACCACCTGAGCCAGGGCGTGCAGGCGCACGAGGAGGGCGAGGGCAGCGGAAAAGAGGCCAAGGCACAGCCCAGCTGCCCGCCTGGCCGCGCTTTTCCTTCCACACTTGCTGGGAGGCCTCGGCGTGGCCCTGGACATTCTGGCCGCGATAACCTTAGACCTACTAGGCTACTTCTAAACAGAGAAAACAAATGTTCTGTAGACACCCTTCCATCATGGTTTATAATCATATTCAATCCTCAGTCTTCTCAGAAGGGCTTGGTGGGCGCCTGATTTTCCTGATTCTCTGTCTTCTTCCCCTGTCGGCCTCTCAGGGTGAATCTGTACCCGTATCGGAAGCTGTGCCTCCCCAGGACTGCCAGGTTCTGAGTATGAGAGGGAGACGCCTGTTCTCTCAGTCCTGCACACCCTTCCCTGCCCCTCTCCATTTAGAGAGAAATTTAGGCCAGAAGATGCAGCCAGAGACAGCAGGGTCGAGGAAGCCTAGCTGTAAGCAGGAGCTGGCCCAAGATGCTGGGACAGGGACTCCAAGTGCCAGCAGAGAGCCCAAGGACGCACCTCACGCAGCCTGGAGTGGCCACAGCCGGACAGTACCTCCTCAGGGGCCGCCCTCCAGAACCCTCTCTCCAGAACCTTCTCAGGGGCCACTCTTCGGACCCCTCCATCTTAAAAAACCATTTTATTGAGATACTATTCACATATCATACAATTTAAAGTATACAAATCTATGATTTTTAGTATATTCACAGACTTGCCAGCACCACAGTCAATTTTAGAACATTTTCACCACCCCACAAAGAAACTCTGTACCTTTTAGCTATCACCCTCCACCCCCATCCCCACCCCCACCCCCACCCATACCCCAGCACTAAGGAACCACTGAAAAAGGCTCTACTTTCTGTCTCTACGAGTTCTCTGCTCTGGACATTTCATGAAGCAAACTCCCCCTCCCCATCTTTTGCTTCTTTTTTTTCAAATCCACAACACTTAGCCTGTTGCTGTTTCCCTGGGAATTTTATTTCTAGGACTCTGTCCTAACAGATGAACAGAGCTACAGATACGGATTCTCATGGAAGGATGTTCTTTGAGAGGTTTTCTGTAAGAGTCAAAACGTGGAAGCCTTCTCAAAGTCCCACAGGGTGGGGGTAGGGGTGCACTGTGATTATCAGGCGGGTCTATGACGGAACACTTGAGCTCCAAGAAAATGTTCACACATGAAGACTCCAGTCCAATTTTAGAAAAAAATCGTATGTACCCAGATTGGTTGTCTCTTTGCGGGAGAATTAGGGATGGTTCTTACTTTCTTCTTACTTCCTTTTATTGTTTATAATTTCTTGTGATTAACTAGGGATTACTTTAAAATCAGAAGATATAAACATTTTTAATTAAAAAATATTTTAAACTAAAAAAAAACTATACCTGGAAATAGTAAAAGTGATAGCACAGTGAGGCCTCAGTGTACGATAATAATAATTTTAGAAAGCTAGCGGAGTGTAGTATTTAAAAGTTGAGCCCTGGAGTTAGGCTAGACCTGGAATTGAATTTCAGCTCTGCCACTGACAATGCATATTACACTGGTCAAGTTACTTCACATCTCCAAACCTTTGTTTTTTGTTTGTTTTGATCTGTAAAATAGGAAAAAAAAAAACAATACCTACCCCTCAGGTGTTTTGTGAGATTAATTTAGATAATGCATTGAATATACAGCACCTGGCACAGTGACTATTCAAAAAAAGACAGTTGTCATTGTTGTTCTAGAAGTTGTTTTTGTTATTATTATTCTAGAAGCCCAGTCACTGGGCAGTGATATTAGCTAATGTTATCAGAATCTTTTCCATGTAAATTGTGGATTATTTAAAGTGAGGTATTCTGGTTGTCTTTTAAATTACTCATAAAAAAATTCTGAGAGAAGACCATGCACCTTTGAATTATTTTTTAATGTGTCTCTTACCTTTGCTTTTATCATCAGTTCCTCATGCTTATGAATTAGCTCCTCATTGTCTGAAAGTGATGAACCTAGATGTTGTTCTTGTAAATCTCTTATGGTTTTCTGAAACCAACAAGTCACCTAGGTAAGAATCAACAAAGCAAGATCAAATAATCAGAATAAGTGAGTAAAAAATCAGAAATATTTCCTCAACCTTTCAAAACTTAAGCTACTTATATTAAGCCTATTATATTAAAAATTTGAGTTAAATACATACAACGATTATAATAACAAATGCACACACTATTTTGTGACACATGAAAACATTGAGCAGTTTGAAAGTGTTTCTTAAGTGTCTTATATGCACAGAAAGGTAAAATATATACTGTATACTAAGACAAACATTTGTCTAACTAATGCTAAATAAAAACCATATGTACTTATTCTGACTTACCTACAAATTTGACCTAAAGACAGAAACGGATCTTGTTCATAACCCAGGGATTGCCTATACTTAAATTTCTCTTTATATATACTCATTTCGTGTATTAATATATATGATCAAGTTTTCATTTTTTCTTCATTTAAACCTCTACCTACTTGAGAGAAAAAAAAAATAATCTCAGAAAAGTATGAAAATGATTTATCAGTTGAGAAAATTACATGGCATGAAGAAAGTAATTCAAAATCTCTTAACAAGGAAGAATCAAAACAGATTCCAAGGCAGTCCATAAATCATGCATTCTTTTAGAATACAAGTCTTCTTTCCTGGATAAGAATATGAATCTGAATACAGTTACATAGACTCATATGAAGATATTAAACAGCATATGTAGAAGTATATTTTATACTATGAAAAGATAGTGTAAAAATATTTAGTTTGCTGCAATTGCTGAAAATCTGTGTTCAAACAATAAATGGAGAAGTTATTAAAATTCTGTTGACATCATAAATGTCTCAGGGCATGACTCACTTTCATTAAGACTAGATTCACAATATATGTCATACACAATGTTAAAACAACAAAAAACAAAGACTTGAAAGAAGCTGTACATTTTTAAATAATGACACAGCTTGACTTGGGACTGATGACATGATCCCCTGAATGCAGATTCTTTACTCCAATTATAGGAAAGAAGCTTGAAATTTTACTCTCAAATCCTCTACATCATTATCCTCATGATCACATCATAGTTACTGATTGTTAAGAACCTACTACAAGCTAGACAGTTTGAAAGTTGCTTTTCAGGCATTGTTATGGGTTGAATTGTGTCTCTCCAAAAAATATGTTCAAGTCCTAACCACTGGTAACTGTGACTGTGCCCTTATAGAAATAGGGTGTTTGTAGATGCGATTAAAGTTAACACAAGGTCATACTGGAATAGGGTGGGTCCTAATCCAATATGACTAGTGTCCTTATAAAAAGAGGAGAGGACACACAGAGACACAGAGATGAAGACCGGTATTGGAGTTATGCTGCCACAAGCCAAGGAACACCTGGGGCTACCAGAAACTAGAAGGGCAAGAAAGGATCTTCCCCTAGAATGTTCAGAGAGAGCATATTCCTGACAACACCCTGAATTCAAATTTCTAGCCTCTAGAACCGTGAGAGAATAAATTTCTGTTTCAAGGCACCCCATCTGTGGTACTTTGTTACAGCAGCCCTAGGAAACTAATACAGCCATCATCTCTATTTCTCTCAACAACTCATTTTAGAGACACTATAACTGAGATTCAGAGAGGTTAACAGCTTATCCAGGGCCAAGCAGTAAGTGATGGAGAAAGGATTTGTCCTCATCTACACGATTCCAAAGTCCATGCTCTTCCACTGCACCCTATTGCCATGCTTGAGTAGCCTAAAGCCCTACAGTCCTGTCATTAGTGGGGAATGACTTCAAGCCTGAAATGGATTCCAGCAGTCCACTCAAAATAGTGGGTATTGCCACAGCCTTATACTATGTCTTTATCCAGCCTAGACTGTCTTGCCTGGGACAGCCTTGGGATTTCTCTAAAATCTTATAAAGTGGAGAAATGAGTGAAGCAGGTGGCTAAGGAGAAAGCTAGTTTACACCTGAAGTTCCACACAACAAATTCACACCACAAACACACACATACACAATGCTGCTACACAGATGTCAGTTAGAAAGTCACCTAGAAGAGGATATCCTAGGATCATTACAGGGACGATATCACAAAGCTGATAATGAGATAAAAAGGTCTGCACCAACTCTTAGCATTTCCAGCATGGAATATGCAATAAAATATGGGGCAAGAGGGTTTCTCCAGCTTTCTAGTAATTGGAAATCTTTGTTAGCCAGCATTTCAGCCTATCATCAGTGCAAAGAAAAGCATAATGATGATCCTGTAGCCATTTTCATGTGAGGTGCACCTCCTTTTTGTTCAGAATATTTGGTAATCTATGTGTAACAGACATATTATGTAGCCAGCTCCCTTATCTAAAGTATCATGTTTATGTATTTACAATTATTTGAAGACAGTATATCTTTCTGGTATCCCAATTAGAACTAGACGATATGTATAATGTGCATTAGATAAAACCCACAAAGAATATTTTTATTACCAAGAGCTATAAAATTTATCCATCAATACATTGAATTTTTATAAAACAAAATTATTTCTCACAAAAGATGCAATGAACCCATATAAAAACCCAACTAGAGGAAATTATTTAAGGATTTAATCAAAGTAAAATGGATCAAGAATATACTAACTTTCAGAGATCATTTATTTTATTAACTAATGGAAGTGAGTGTTAGTCATTCTTAGCGGGAGGAACCCAGAAATCTCAAGAATGCTTTGGATAGTGATATAGAGTCTGAGTGAAAGAAAAATGGGTATAAACAGGTGTTCACTAATCTCTAAAAACAGATGACAGGCCTGAACCCTCAGATAATCCTATTAAATTTTGTGAGTCGAAGACTTGTCATTTAACACACGCTAGCAGTGATGAAAGCTGGGAAGGAGTAAGCTGTTTTGATTTTTTTTAAGCATCTACTGACCTCATCCCCTAGATTTGGCAAATACTATTTCAACCCCCAAAGGACACTATTCCTGTAAAGGAATATACATATTTCCTCAAGAGCTATGAGGATAATCATTATATCCTAGTCACATACCTGCCTGTTAAAGCATGCTGCCTCTCTAGAACCAGACATTTATACTACCAGATACACCCTGGAAAGGAACATTAAAAACAAGTTGGCATAAAACTCAGAAGTAAGTAGATCATGGCAAGGGTGTGACATCTCATCATGAGGCATTCACACATATAAGCAGCCTCTACGATCAGATTTACCATGTGTGCTGTGGGATGCATGCAGAGTAGGCTCTCAGTCGCTCTGATGCTAAAAGTAAGACGCCCTAAATAACTGAGAGCGTGTCAACCATAATACTCTGCCACCCAGTAAATCAGTCATTGCATCCAGCAAGCAGCTACTGCAGACAGCTGCACAGATATTCCAAGTGCACTTTTTATAAGCTTTTAAATTATATCAGCTGCTGTCCAAAAGCCAGAGTGGTAAATACAGTAAATGATGCACCATGGCATTTCTGTAGAACATGGTCCTGCAAAAGGATGAAAACAGGAGTCAAGGATTGGGAGTATGAGGAAAGGAAGGAAGGACAAAAAGCATTCAGAGTACCTGCTAGAAATGAGTTCTGGGCAATGAAGGATTAAGAGGGAATGGGAACAGTTTTCCTCTCTCTTCCCAGTTCCTACCTTTCAGCTTGACTTGAGTGATGTGCATATGGTCATCCCACCAATTTGACATGACATGACATTCTAAGTACTAAGTACCTAAAGGAGTTAGAACTAAGGCAGAGAAGGAGTGGGGTAGATCTGTTTGGGGAGGCATTTACCAAAGAGTAAAAGAAGATTTTGAGAAAGATAAGCCAGCAAAAGTGCAAAGGAGCAATCAGGGATAGTCAGTGAAAACCAAGAGCTGCCTTAGAAGTTAAAGAGGGGGCCAGGGAAAACTTTCGCAAATAGTGTATACCTGCATTGTTCAATATGGTAGCCGTTAACCACCATTAGCCATAGAGCACTTGAAATGTGGCTGGTCCAGATTGAAATGGCAGTAAGTATAAAATACACAGATTTCACAGATTTAGTATAAAAAATGAAAATATTTCATTAAGAATTTTTATATTGTTTACATGTTGAAATAACCCTACAGGACAGAGTAGAACTGCCCCATAGAGGTTTCAAGGAGCGCCTGGTTGATTCAAACTGCCGACGCTTTGGTTAGTAGCCGTAGCTCTTAACCACTACGCCACCAGAGTTTCCATATTTTGGATATGTTGGGTTACATAAAATATATCATTACTTTTTAATTTTTTATGTGACTTTTCACTTTTTTAATGTGTTTACTGGAAAATTTAAAATTACATATGTGGCTTACATTATATTTTTATTGGACAGGACTGCAACTCAAAATCAATTTATTAAATATAGACCTACAACTGAGTTTTAATTAAGGGCAATTTAAAATATTGGAGTCAGGAGACTGGTAGGATAGGATATCAGTTAGAATTTTAGACCACTGAGTTGAGGGGAGGGGGTAGTAGAACTAATAATTCTTTTAAAGAAGTATGTTAGCTAAGTGAAGGGGTGATGGGATGACAGCTTTAATGAAAGCAGAGATAACAAAGGGGCTCCTCCTCCAACCCCTTACCTTTTATTTCTTTGTTTGATTAGAAGAGACTTAAGCAGAGGAAACAGAGTCAGCATAAAGGAAGACACTGAAGATGCATGGAATAAAGATGATGTAGGAATGTACCAGAGAGTGGGAAGTCTGAAAGCGAGCACTATTGAGACCATTAGTCTTGGGCAAGGTGTAGTGAAGAACCAGTTTTTGATTGTTGGGCATGCCACCCCCACCTCGACCCCCTACTGGGAGATAAGAATGAAGTACATAAGAGAATGAACCAGAACTTTACAGAGAGGGCTCAGGTACTACTCCAAACAAGTTAAAACTGTTACCTAATCCAATCTTTACACCACTTCTAAGAGGGAGATATTTGCCTTTTCAACAGATGGGGAAACTGAGACCCAGACAGGTTAAGTAACTTGCCTAAGGTCACACAGCCAATAAGAGGAAAGTCCCACAAGTAAGGGCAGA